CTTCCCACACCCGCCTACAACGCCGGAGGGTTCCGTGCCGGGTTCCCGCCGACCAGGCATCCCCCGCCCTGCACCACACCCCAGGGGGTGCAGCAAGACGGGCGGCGAAAAACAAACACATACATATTCCCACAAAAAAAATAAAAAATCAAGGACAACGTACACCAGTACCAGGTACTGTTATCTTGTGTCGAATACAGTAGCACATCGTTGCAGCATAACACACCGGGGCTACAGGAAACAAACTTGAGCAAAAGTTGTTGTACCTACTGCTGTAGGCGTCTCTAGTACCCGAACAATAGACAAGTGATGAAGGCAACGCATGTGGACGTGGGTATCACGTCGTATGATTACACTTGTGGATGAGAAGAATAGTCTAGACTACCGTTGCAAAATATTAAATAAAACTCTCATGACAAGATTTGTAGTCGTGTATTTCGTGCAATTCAACAGACGCAACCACCTCTATTGTACAAGTGCCGCCTACTTCACTTCCAATAAAGAACATACACGACGCTTAAGTCCAGTCCGCGGCACAGTGACTGCGCGAAACATTGCAGGTACAACAGCAATCGCTTGCATTGTCACGTGTGCTGCCGTTGCTGCGGCCGAGAAATTCAAAATTACATGACGATGATCTGTACATGCAGACGCCGTTCACGACTTGCCTGCTGGAAGCGAAGTGTCCGTCGTGACAGATGCTGAGTCTAGATCCTCCTTGCTGGGTGTGCAGGGCCGACCACGTTGGCTGGCCTCCCAGCTAAGCCTGAAGGCAAGCCTGGCTGCAAGGGCGTCCTGCTCTGTCTCGCACAACGGCCCATTCTTCTACTTTGGCTTGGCTCCTTTCCGTGTTGTGAAGTTCAGCCAAAGCCACCACTTGCCTTTACTCTTATCTAGAAAGTAAGATGGGACAGAGGTCTTCTGACACCCCTTGGTTTTGAGTGCTGCAAGGGCGGGCTCCATGCTGTCTGCTCTCGGTGCCAGCAGCGGATGCTTTGTGTGCGCATCCGTTGTGCACCATAGAGGTAACTAATATTACGGGAATCGGGATCTTCAGGACTGGGTCGCTCACAGCGCAGCGGGG